TCAGATAGGGCTGCTTGAAGGACAGTCAAATTGGAGTACATGGAAATATAAAATATGTATTCTGCTAAGAGGGGGCGCTGGTGCTATGGAAATTTTAGAAGGCACATTAAGTACTCCTAACTTGAAAGAAGGTGCTTCACAAGAAGAAAAGGCAAAATACGAGAAGGAACTAGAAAACTACAATAAAATCGATAGCAGTGTGTTATTGATTCTCACAATTAATATGACTCAAGATACTTTACAGAAAATTATGAGATTCAAAACTGCACATGATATATGGTGTGAACTTCATAGACTATATGATGGAAGCTTAGAGGACAAGACTTACGACTTGTGCATGCAATTTTTCGGGTATAAAAGAGAATCCGACGATGATATTGTATCTCACACTTCAAAATTAAAGAATCTGTGGAACGAGCTGCAGAAAGAATTTTGCAGGGAAAAGTTAAACTCTAAGAGTAAATGTAGTTGTGAGCTACCCAGTATATTGCTCAAATTATGGAGACCCTAGCAGATAAATATTTTTCATTTAAATCGAGCTGGTTATTGATTTCAAAATCAGATCGCAATATAGATAATCTAACTATTCAACTTTGCGCTTACAAAAAGCAAATGAAGGCAAAGAGTGAAAGTTCCAGTCAAGAAGCTCTTTTAGTTACAAATTCCAGATCTAAACGTAATTTTAAGAAGAAATTAATCTGCCACTACTGAAAAGAAGCTGGACATTTTGTTAAGCAATATAAGAAGTGCAAAGTAGATGGAAAACCTTCCAAAAACGAGCAAGGTGTGAACATGACTCTAATTGCGGTGACTAGCAATATGCTTTTTTCTAAGTACGATGAAGGGGATTGGTATATAGATAATGGAGCTACCAATCATATAACCTATCGTACCGATATATTTCAAGATTTTACTCCCTTCATAGAATTCCACACTGTTACGACAGCCAATGGAGAATGCGTAAAATCTCTTGGCAAAGGTACTGTTACAGTTGAGTCTGATATACGCGGATGAAAACGTAAAGTAAATCTTGATGATGTTTGATATGTTCCAAATATAATGAAAAACCTATTCTCTCCCTTTGTTGCTCAAGATAGACACCCAGACAGTAAATTTGTATCTAAAACCGAAGTATGCAGTTTCCTAGTTAATGGACAGACCATTTTAGAAGGAAAAAGGAGCCGTTATGGAGGTTTACATAAGTTGAATCTTAAGACTGTCGAACCAGATAATGTAAATATTGTAAATAATAGTGTTAATTTAGTGTCCAATAAAAACGTATTACAGTTGTATCATAAACGTTTTGGACATCAGAATAAGAGACATATTAAATTTTTCATTTCCCGCGAACTTGGGGTAAAAGTTGAACTAGATAGTGAAATTTGTGAGGGTTGTGTATATGGTAAAGCACACAGACTAAAATTTGGCTCTAGATGTTGTGCAACTTTTACACACAGATGTTCGTGGACCCTTTGTTAACTCTCATTCAAATTATCGTTATTTCGTTTTATTTAAGGATGACTTTAGCCGGTATCGATTTGTGTTCTTCAATAGACAGAAATCAGAAGTCTCTGAAAAACTTGAGTGTGTTTTGGCTCAGATAAAAGTAACAGGACATGTCGTCAAAGAGTTACTTTCTGATAATGGTGGTGAATTCGACAACGACAAAGTTCGACAGATTCTGCAAACGTACGGAGTAAGGCAAAGATTGACCATGCCCTACACTCCTGAACAGAATGGTTGCGCTGAACGGGATAATCGAACAATCGTTGAAACAGCCAGAGCGATTATGCATGCTCGAGAAGGACTACCACAATCTTTATGGGCTGAGATGATTAATACAGCTGCATATATTCTCAATAGATCAGGTGTGTCAGGTGAAAAAGACAAGTCACCTTATGAAGTTTGGTTCCAAAAGAAAGCTAGCCTAAAACACATGAGAGTAATTAGCAGCTCTTGTTATGCCCATGTTCCTAAAGTAACCCGCAAAAAGATGGACAAGAAAGCTGTCAAAGGAATTAGGCATTCCAACGACCTGTGAAACAATAGGTGCCAGTTAGAAATTCTTGTATATTTAAGAGGGTAGCGACATAGTCTTGCAACTTGGACGCTATTTTTATTCGAAGTAGTACTCGCCAAGCCTGCCAATTTATGAAGAAATGTGTAGGTGGGTTTTTTAAATATTATTTTTATTGTGTTTGACATAAAATATTTAAATGTAATCCATTATTCATGATTTTACGTAAAGTAGATAGAATACACCATATGTCGTCACCCTTAGATATACCAAACCTGTCCACTGGTAATTCATTTGTTTGGAATGCCTAATTTTATTAGGTTATGATGAAAATGACGGCTATCGCATCTGGAACGAAGAAAATAAATGTCTAATTAAAACCCTTCTCTTCTGAAACCTTAATACATGTCAAAGCTACATGTCAAGAAGACATTGATGGAGAAACGGTGCATCAAAATTCAAGTTCACAACTGAAGGAAGTTGAACAAAACGCTGGAGATGAAATTGAAAGTAACTATGATGTGGATGAGGTTCTTCATCAGGCTGAGGATGGCACATCAAAAGAAAATTAAGAAGAAGAAATGAATTTGAGAAGCGGGAAAATAATAAAACAAGAGTTTTGACGATTATGTAATGCTTGCATTTGCAAATGTTATGAAATACGACGAACCACAAAGTTATCAAGAAGCTGTTCAAAGCAGAAATAGGGAAAAATGGCTTGAAGCAATGGAAAGCGAAATGCAGTCACTCAAAGAAAATGAAACTTGGACTTTAAAAGAACTTCCAAAAGGACAAAGAGCTATTCCTTGTAAGTGGTTGTATACAGTTAACACCCTTCCTGATGGTGCCGTTGACAAGTTTAAGGCGCTATTGGTCATCAAGGGATATTCACAAAGTGAAGGTATTGATTACGACCAAACTTTTAGTCCTGTTGTAAAGACTGCAACGATAAGAGCTTTACTGAGCATTGCTGCCATCCAAAAGATGTCCCTAACACAGTTCGATATCTGCACAGCCTTCCTATATGGTTAACTAGAAGAAAATGTGAATATGAGACAACCTGACGGTTACGAAGATGGAAGTAAACGAGTTTGTCACATAGAAGCTTATATGGTCTAAAACAAGCACCTCGTTGTTTTAATAAAAGGTTTGTGGACCATATTAATAAATTAGGATTCAAAACGAGTGAAACTGATCCTTGCTTGTTCATTAAAAATCAGTCCCAACAAATGCTCCTTCTAGCCCTCTATGTAGACGAGACAAGAAATTAGATGAAACATTTTTAGAAGATTTGGGGAAAGAATTTAAAATAAAAGTCAAGCCAGCTAACTATTTCCTAGGTTTAGAAATAGATAGAGAAGAAGATGGGTCGATTCGAATCAGCCAGTCCTCTTATGCAAGACAATTGTTGGACAGATTTGAAATGTTAGACTGCAAGCCAGTGTCCACACATATCACTAAAGATACTAACAAGACAGGGAAGGTAGAGGTATCTGATGAAGACTGCGAATATTCTTTTTCATACAGAGAAGCAGTGGAAGCCCTGATGTACCTCATGACGGGTACACGTCCTGACCTAGCCTATGCAGTCAGTGTTGTATCAAGAAACCTTGAGAACCCATCTAACACCGACTTTGTAAAGGTTAAGAGGATTTTTCGATATATCAAGAGAACAAGCAACTACGGGATCCTCTACAAAGCTGATCCAAAAGGTATAAAATTAGAATGTTTTAGTGATGCAGATCATGACGGGGATGAAACCACTGGTCGTTCAACGTCTGGAGCATTGTCTACCTTTGCAGGAGCCGCTGTATCTTGGCACAGCCAGAGACAAAGTTCAGTGGCCATCTCCAGAACTGAGGAAGAGATAGTAGCTGCTAGTGAGGCATCTATAGAGTTGATTTGGCTTAAAATATTTTATGAAGAAATGGGACTCTTAAAATAAATACCAGTATTATTAGTTGACAATGAAAGTGCTATAAAATTGTCGCAAAACCCGGAGTTCCACAGAAGAACCAAGCACATCAGTCCAAAAAGTAGATTTTCCATATCTTTCACAAACGATACAAGCTCTTGCTCCTGATTGAAAGTTGGCTTAAAATTACCCATTTCTTTTCTAGAACTACCCTCCATATCTTGTGTTAGAATTTCATTTGTCATTTAAAAGGTAAACCGTTGAATCATATTTCTGGGGCACAACGGGCATGAGACCATTTTGCCCCGCCCGTTATACCCCAGACGCCATGTTGTAAATAACTTAGCATAATTTCTACGATAAGTAGAAATTAACTGCAAACTGAGTGTCTATATAAACACTGAACATATATCTACTTATAATCCAGTAAATGAAGGAGGAAAAAAAGGCAAAGTTGGACTTAATTACGCCCTATTTTCATCTTCCGGTTTCAAGTAGCTTTTGGTACCTCATTAAACATGAGACAAAGTTTGAGTGGAAAACGCGTGCGATGGCGGAGAAAATGGCCCCAAAAGACTAGAAAAATAGGTTCTCAGCCAATATCTCCTAAAATATGGCAGTTAGAGATTTTTGGTTCAGATAAAAATTGAAGTTCAGTTAATTTTCTACAAAAATGGTCTTTATGATTTTTTTCGCAACATTAATATTTTCTGCAAAAAAATCGGGTTGAAAAACCGGAAATTTTGAGACTCGTGAAATATGCAAGTTTTGTACAAAATTTGAGTTGGAAATCTATTATTTTCAATGTTTTGGATTGTGGAAATCAATTGTAGATGGCGCCACCACATTTTATAGATTGGGAAAATCCTCGGTGCCATAAATGAGAAACCCTGTAACCAGACACTTTTGAAGGATATTTATGTTTCCGAGGGTCTTGTTTTCCTCGCAGATGAGGCCTCAAGATATACTTTTTAGGAAAACAGGCTATAAGATTAATTACAGCAGGATGGACCCCGAGTATTTGTTCTACGTTGTAACTTTTTGTGGCCCTGAAAAGAGCCAGTTTTTTTAGTGTTTCTTTAAACGCTGACCTGCAATTTTAATCAAATCAGCTAGGCAGTACAGTTTTTCGTCAGTTTCCTTAATATAGGCCACAACTATGGCCATTTTGTCTTGAACATGTTGCTCCTTGGGACGTCCAGGGTTGTCATAAATTGGTGGAGGCCTAAAGAATCTCCGGTTACATTTTTTATGGTATCGTGCTTCGGCACTTACAAGCTCCACTGTTGAAATTCTATCCAATAGTGTCTTACAGAATTCGTTCTGGATTCGATTTTTGATTTCTGTTATGATCTTTGTATGGTATTCTTCTTTTTTAATTACAACAAACTCGTCTCCTGGACGTCTTCTCATCTTGTCATGTTCTCTGGAAGCTGGCAAGCCAGAGAACATACAATTGGCCCAGAAATCAAATCCATCACTCCTGAGCTCTTTTTTCTTGGGGCTGCACAATTGTTGTAATTTTTTGGTCTCGTCAGAGACAAAATTGTTGGACTGGAAGCTGCCATTTCGTTTGAGAATGTAGAGTCTCCTGCAGTCTTTGTGCATTTGCAAAGACGTTTGTTTTTCCAAAAAACTTTGATGTTTATCCTTCCTTTCCTTGCTAACAAGAATCAAATTTTCTAAGCCCCGAGTTACGGTGACAGTATCTGCAGAAACGGGTTCCTTACAAAGGAAACACACTTCGGTACCAGAGTTGACCTCCATTTTTCTATAACAAGCAAAGCAGACCAAGATTTCACTTAGAATAGTTACTTGTAAACAAATGTTCTTGAATAAAAATAACATGAACAAATTCTCACCTTTTGTTCCAATTTTACAAGATTTGAATCTTCACTTTCTATGTTTTGGGTTGGTGATAAAAGTTAATTTTAACCAAAAACGTCAATATTTGTTCAATATACTTCATTTTTATGATTTTTCTTTCTATAATTAACAATACTATTTATCAAAATAATGACAGAAAACAAACACACTTATGCCTCCAAGCGTGGCCGCATGGTTTGTAGCAGACGACACGAGCGCCACATAGAGCGCACACACGACGAACGACGGGATGAACGAAAGTAACAAATTATAGCGTGTACATTTAGATACACTGGTTTTTCCCGGGGTATCAAAGCTATGACTTATATACATCGATGGAAAGGTGGGAATTCCCCCGTTACACTAGTTAAGGTGTTAAAATGTTAGAGATAAAGAGCAGGGAGAAAAAAACCACCAAAAAAAGTGCGTTTTTTCCTTGAGCCCGCGTTTTCCAATTTTATTGAAAAATGGACGACTTGGCCAAAAAAAGTAATTGCACAATCGAAAAGTAGACGTTCTTAGCTTTCGAATGATGTATCATAGAGACCAATCCGATCATGTATTAATTTTTAATTGATGGTTGTTCACAAAATTTCCCCGCGCTCTAAAAACAGCAAAAATTTGGGATTCAATAAACAAAGATTAAATGAAAATTCAAAAAATTTGGGTATACAAATTTCACGGATGACAAAGGACCTTATGAGGACCGATAATCAAGAAAATTTTGAGGAAATTAGTGCAATACAAAAAAATAGGAACAAATTCCTGGGAGGTCAAAATTGCCCGGGAGCAAAAAGTTTGACCCGTGTTCCGACATGGCCAAAAGAGTCAAGCGTGACTCAAATCACAGGGTATGATAGCAGCAGAATTCCTCTTTCACATGAACTTTGAATCATGAGAAAATATGCATTTTTAACAAAGTTATTGAATAATTTGTCCCCCCGCTGATGTGTAAATACACGAACTGTGCTCTCCGGCATACAACACAGAAGCTCATTATTCAAGGCGCGCTTGTTGCCGTTTTTCTCGAAACCGGGCAAATTTTCGAGACAAATCATAAGGACCATTTTTGTAGAAAATTAACTGAACTTCAATTTTTATCTGAGCCAAAAATATCTAACTGCCATATTTTAGGAGATATTGGCTGAAAACCTATATTTCTGGTCTTTTGGGGCCATTTTCTCGGCCATCGCACGCGTTTTCCACGCAAACTTTGTCCCATGTTTAATGAGGTACCAAAAGCTACTTCCAACCGGAAGATGAAAATAGGGAGTAATTAAGTCCAACTTTATCCCTTTATTTATAGGACTATTACCCACAAAACAGATCAGGCAATATATAACAATAAATATGTTTGATTATAATCGTAGTCACGTGAAATATTTTTGCAAGCCTAGCTAAAATCGACTCATGCGCGGCAGACAGTTGTCAACGACTGCGCTAGCAGAGACAACAGAGACGTGTAACTTAATAGGAAAATATGTTCGGTGGTCCATTTAAATTACATATATGACCCTCTTTTTCTTTTACATTGATCTTTACATATGTCTATCTCTCTCCAATAAAACTAACACCATTTTCAGAGGGCGCTGGTGTTGCTGGTTTTTTGACGTCGAAATATCGATTAAAAGTATTAAAAGTGACAACTGACAATGTTATGAATGTTGTTATGAACATGTGCATTTTATTAAAATTAATTTAATTTGGGCCCCGTATATTTCTTTTAGTCTGATTTTGTTGTTTAATTAATTTTCTTTGGGGGGGAATGTTTATTTTTGCATATTATTTTTTGCATGAAGCAATTTCTGGAACCAAACTCGCGTTTTTGTACACATTTCTTTCTAGAGGTAAGTAATTTCCAATTTATTAAGAAAACCACTGTATAATGTGTGTGTTTAATAATATATTACACAATGACTATAATTATTTTAGGTGAATTGGAACAGAGATCCATTGTTACAGCTACTTGTGTTCATTAAGTAGGTAGATGAATGTCTGGACAGCTTTAATGGCAGCACAAAGTTCCTATCTACTAGAAAAGTAAAATGTATGCTGAGTAAAAAATCTGCACATGTAGTATTGGCAAAGGATTTTTGAAATGATTAGAGATTAGCTATTTCTTACATACACCTACCTCTAACAGCCACTCTAAAGGAAGAAAAATTGAATCACAAAAGGGCAGAATTTTAAATCAGGATGCATTGGAAAATAAATTTGGGGACATCAGGTCGGTTTTGGATTTTATAGAGAGATCAATCTCAAGAAAAGTTAATTTATCCTGCAGAACAACCAGTAGTTTAAGTAGGATTTGCTATAACTTTATTAGAAATTTTCTTTGATAATAAATTGTAATATAGGTACCAATTATTGTTTCAAATGAAATTGAAAAAGAGTTAAATATGAAATTAGATTTTTCATGAGTAAAATGTTATATTCATTCGAACATTGCAAGGTAATTTATAATTAAGGGAATATGGAAAATAGGTATATATCTTTAAATAGTGCTTATTATTAATAATATTTGCTATGTTTGAAAAGTACCTCCTGCTTCCGAACAGATCGAATAGATTAGACTACTAGTTGGAGAAGGTCCACCTAGTAACCAAATTAGGAGACTAGGAAAACTTTTACATGACTGGGGACACAACAGGAATGCACACACACAAGATACACAAACAAACGAAATAACAGGGGTAAGCCTTCAGCAACTTCCTGTTTAAATGATGATAGTATGTCATCCTTCATTCCCTTTTAGAAGGCATGGCATATGAATCTATTGATCTTGATTACTATAGGAGTTAGCAGGGGTCTAGCAGGTTTCGATCCAGTTTACAGGATGGGAACTTACTTGACTCAGGCCTTATACATTTGTGTTGAGTGTATGTGTGTTTCGTTTCCATGGTTTCTATTAAAATAAACAGTCATAACATATCCATACCTTTTTGCCAGACTAACATAAGTGAGATTTGTTCAAATGGCACTTATGATAGTCTGGCAAAAAGGTATCGATACTATACTTTATAAAATATTTGTTACATTAGTTTTTAAATATATTATGAATATATAACAACTGTTACTTTCTTTGTAATTTGTCACAAAATGATACGAGGTACTTTCTAAATGAAGCAATTGTAGTTTGCTTTTCTGTACCTTACAAAAATATAATTTATAGAAAAAGAGTTTGGTGTATTATTTTTCCAAGTTTAAATATTTAATAATCAATAGAATTTTCAAGTTTTTTTTTTAGCGAAATTTACAAGAGTAATAAAAACTATGTTCACTGTTTATATTAAACTGATTAAAACTTCCTTTATTAAAATGATTATTTATGTGATAAAAAATTTGATGTTATTGGAAGCTTTTATATTTTTTAATATACAGTGAAACAATAGTTTTTGTTTCTCCTGTAAATTTGTATAGAAAAACTTTATTTCTGAATCCATGTTTGAATTTCCCGCCCCAAAGCATTTTTAATTTTCCCGCTATTTACTAGTGGCGCCATCATAGACTGGTTGTGGTTACAATCGCCCAAATAACTTTTACCGAACAAAAAAAATACATTGAGTTACACGTCTCGCTGGATTGTCTCTGGCGCTAGGAAGAGTAGGAATACCGCAGTGACCCACATGCTCTGTCGTTGGGTTAGTTTGATCCAGCTGATTTCGCTCGTCTAAGCGTTATAGAAAAAGTTAGATTCATCGTGTTCATTATGCCCCGATAGCCCATTATGCCCCGGCTTCCAATATTTTCCTTGCTTTATTTAGCAATAAACAAGTTTATTTTTATTATTTTCACAAAATTATATAAAATTCTCATAATCATGCATTTTCGTTGCGTTTTTAATGTTACCAGATCACGTGGGAGTCGGGTATTATTGAAGAACCAGTAAAATAAGGACAGTAATTTTTAAATCTGATATTTTTTATAAAACCTTAGTGAATATTTTGTGAAAAACTTAATTATATTTTGTAATATAGTGTGCTACATAGCGGAAAACCACGGACTAAGCATTTTTTAATGCCGATTTTGTTATATAAATTTTTCGTGAATTCTACGACATACGGTTTTCGAGATACAGCCGGTCGCCAACCCGTAAAATAACCATAGAATTTTATACAACTGCTGAAAAAATAGCGGTATCCCGTTTAAAATAGATAGTTCACATCTATTTCCGCTATATGCGGTTATACCAACAAAATATTTTAGATAAAAAGATTATAACCTGTTTACTATGTTAACCAATTTTTAACAAAAATCGTCCATTGGTTTGTCAGATACAGATAGTGTCCCGCCGTCGCTGGACGCTGTATATGGTCAAACGTCCAATTAGACAAGATAAAGTAAATTAATGAAAAAGTCGACACTATTGGTACTTGTTAGTTCTTTTAAGAGTGCTACAAATTAACCGGCTATGAGGCACAAGGTAGGCTCCATCTTTGGACTACGGTGGCTATCCATAGTAGTTATTAGTAAATGCTTCAGAAATGCAATTAAATGAATATAAATAATTTACTATGAGAGAGTTGTTGTTGTGACGGTTAGAAGATAAAATGATAATTTTCCATTGGTATGTGAATACTTTATTAGTTTCACGATGTATAGGGTGTTTGAATAAAGGACCAGTCACCTTTATTATGGAAATGTTGTTAAACTCGATGCTGTAAAAAAAGTATATAGTGGCTTAAACCGATTCTATGACTATTTTTCGATGTACAGGGTGTTAAACATCGGAAATGCCACTTTTTTGAGCATGTTTCTCATAGCACACCTGTTTGATTCGCGTTTGTTGTAGAAAATTTGAATTATAGATTATTTGACACTAATATTTTATAAAAAGTTACTGGAGAAATTGGTTAATTATAGAGTCGTTGGAAAATATGAAATATGTTTTTTTTATAATT